ACTCCACCCCTTCCCCAAATCCCCAGCCCCGCCTCCTCCCCAGGCGTGACGCATTCCCCCCCACCCATTGCTTCCTGCGGGCCCCCCCGCGACCTCCCGCCCTAGCTCACCTTCGCCCCGCCTGCTCCCCCAGGCGTGCCGCCGCTCCGCTCCCCCCCCCCCCCCAATCAGGCGAGGGAGGGCGGAGAAGCAGGGCGGTGGTGCGTTCAGGGGAGCAGGCGGAGCGGAGGTGAGATGGGGGGGCGCAGGAAGTAATGGGGGGGTAGAGGAACCACTGCCCGCTCCAGCTCACCTCCGCCACCTCCCCCGAGCGCCCCGCCGCTCGGCTTCTCCTCCCTCCCAGCCTTGCTGCGCGAAACAGCTGTTTCGCACGCGGCAAGCCTGGGAGGGAGGGGGGAGAAGCGGAGTGGTGGCGGCGCGCTCGGGGGAGCAGGCGGAGGCAAGCTGGGGTGGTGAGCTGGGGCGGCGGGTGCACTTTTTCCTCCATGCCCCAGAGTCGGCGCCTATGATTGCCAGCGCCAGAATGCCGCCCCTAGAAATGTGCCGCCACAAGCACCTGCTTGTTTTGCTGGTGCCTGGAGCTGGCCCTGGGAGAGGGGATGGGAGCCAGTCCAGATCAGAAGAACAGGTCAGCCACCGATTCGCCACTCGCATCCTCAGCCCCGCTCCCCCGGCTTGCCTCCTCAGCTCCCCCACTGGCTCGTCTACTTACCCCCCGCCACTGCCCGCCCGCTCGCCTCCTCAGCCCCCCCTCCCCCGCCACCAGCTCACCTGCCCCCCCGCCACTGCCCGCCCGCTCGCCTACTCAGCCCCCCTCCCTCACTCGCCGCTTGCCTACTCACCCACCCCCCCCGCAGGCTGCACAGTGAGCCCATCTACTCAACCCCCACGGGCCGCACAGTGAGTCCATGCGGGCCGCATGTTGTGCAGGCCTAGACTAGATGATCATAGTGGTCCCTTCTGGTCTAGATTCACAGTTTACAAGGAGCAGTGGTAGAAGAGAAAGGGTTGGCTTTTCCTTGCCATACCTCTGCTCATCTGGGTACAATAAGTGTATAAGAATGGTTTCTGTTCTCTAAAACAAATATACATAGGTGGCAAGTTAAATATAGAGAGCACAGGTACAACATTTAGGGCTCAACAAATTGAACACATAACTTTATTATTTCAAATCAACTTAAGTACTGTCCCAAATCCCCCCATCAGACTACTGCCAAAGGTAAAACTGGAGTGGGTGTAGGAAAAAAACAAGAGCTAAGATGCAGGAAAAGTGCAGAACCTTGAAAGTGAGGATGTGAAGGTTGCTTTTAGGATACCAGATCTCTGGTGTTTATTTCATATCTTTCACTTACCAGTGAACAACTGCCAAGAAAAAAAAAAAAAAAAAAAAACATTCCTTCCAGTTGACAGAATTGAAAATGAATGTGGGGGTGTTAGTCCTCACTGAGGACTTTTTAAATTCTCTGCTTTCAATTTCCCCTCCACCCCACTCCCTTAAGGATGCACATTGTGGTTCTTTTTTTTGGCTAAAGAGCGATGTATGAGTTCTCAAGGGAATCCCACACTTTGCTTGGCCACAGTGTCAGCTGCAGAGCAACTCTGCCCTATCACAGGTCTCCCTAACTTATCAGCCTGGAGAAGAACTAACTGAGACTAGAAACTGATGCTGGGTACTCATGAGTAAGGCTACGATTTAGTCACGCTTATTTTTAGTAAAAGTCACGGACAGGTCACAGGCCATAAACAAAAATTCACAGCCCGTGACCTGTCCATGATGTTTACTATATACCCCTGACTAAAACTGGGGGGGAGGCGAGGGAGCTCAGGGGAACGGCCTGGGGGGGC